TACTCCTGGAGCCATATTGCCATACATGAGCAAAGCTAACCCAGCTAGAACAGGGCATTTCTCTTCAGGGCCTGAAGACTGAACTGCTGCCTGTGTGTGCTGGAAGAAGAAAGCCTAGGGAAGGAGGCATGAGCATGACCTTGGGAAGAAGAAAGATGGAGCTTCTTAGGTAAGTCTTCACTGGAACAACACTATTGGAGAATTTCAAACAGGAAATCTGCCCGCTCTTTGTATCAGAAAAACAGGACTTCATGTACCTGGCTCTGTATCACTGATTGCTCATCCTCATGAAAGCAAGACCCCAAGTATTGACTGTTTACCCTGTCCAGTAGATAGGACACTAGCCTCAAAGACCTGGATACAATCCCCAGCTCTGCCACAGACTTCCAGTGTGACCAGACCAGTCACTTAGCTTCTCTGTTTCAGATTGTAAGATACAGATAACACTTCCTGAACTCAGAGGCATGTTGCCAGGCTAACTACATTAAGAGGTTCCTGGGTATTATAGTGAAGGGAGTCCAAGAAATATCTCCAGATGCTTTTCCAAGGAAACATTCCCCTTTTAGCTGGACCAAAGCCACATATTCAGATTAGAACTGAACCTTAAATTATGCTTTGATGCAAGGTTTTGCTTTGGCTCCAACTTTTCTGCATAGTGTTAGGTAGCATTTTATCCTCACTTTGAATGGCTTTAAATGATTTACAGGAAGTGGAGGGCAACAGAGAAACAAGCCGAACATCTCGGGCCTTCAATTACCCCATGTGTGGAATGGGGATAATTGATATTCACCCCTTCTTTGTCCTCCTTTTACACCATTATTTCCTGTCACACATCACCTCCACATTGAATTTTCTTAGGAGTACTATTCTGCCCAGGAGTGGAAAAAAAAAAATTACAGGGAACATTATGTTTGACCTGTCCTCTTCATAATTTACCACTTCCCCCATCTGTGTGTCATCTGCAAAAATTTTTAGCAATGATTTTGTACTGTCTTCCAAGTCATTTATATAAGTGCTAAATAACATAGGGCCTAGAACAGCATTTATGATACTTCTAGATTGACACCTGATTCAACTTGTAGGTTTCGAATTTACGGTACTCAGCCCTGCAACGGAGTAGATTGTGGTTACAACTTTCCAGCTTACAACTGTAAGGAACCAACTGTGTTTTAAATTCAAGGATTCCCTGTATTTAATTTGTGCCATGTAATTTTTGTATCACCCCAGTTTCTCATTCAAAATATTGTCCCATACAAAGTCAGATGTCTCACAAAAAATCTAAGTTTCGTACATCTGTGCTATCACCTTTATCAACCAAATTAACAATCTCCTCCATCATTAGACAGCATCTATCTCCATACACCAATATTGACCTTCCTTTAACTATTTATTAATTGGTTCCCATATCAGCTGCTCCATTATTTTGCACAAGATTGGTGTCAAGATGAAAGTCTTATAATTATCCATATGGTCATCTCTACCCTTCTTAAATATTGGCACAATATTATGTTTCTTCTAGTCCCTTGGAACTTCCACAGTGTTGCAGGTATTACTAAAATCAGTGTTAATCAACTAGTGAGCTCTTCCAACATCTCTTTGAAAATCTCTTGATGCAAGTTAGCTGTACCTGCTTATTTTAGTGTTTAGCTTTAGTTTTGACAGTTTAACGTCCTCCTAAATTACTGTTGGAATGAAAATATTTTATAATTGTATTTTATGAATATATCCTCTCTTTTTCCAAATATAGAACTGCAATATTTATTGATTTCTTCTGCATTTATTATTGACAATTCTACAATTTCCATCTAGTAATGGAACAATACTGCTGTTAGGGTTCTATTAGTTTGCAGTATATTATTTTTCATTGTGCTTAACTCTACTGATTGTAGATATATATTTGTGTCCTTTTGCTTTCCTCGTCAGGTTTTGACAGTTCTTTCCTTCTAATTTATCTTATGTTATTACCTTTCTCTTTTCCACTTCTGATTTATTAGTGAGTTTTTAGTGGCTTTCCCTGTAAGCCTATATACGTTTTTAGCAAAAGTAGCCTTCCTTCCTGCAGCTTTTGGGACACCTTAAAAAAAGGAAAATTTATCATTCAGATATTTCTGTTTTAGGTACTCTCTTCCAGCAGATTTGGCTTACTTTAGTTTTTTAATTTTTGAAATTGGTCTTTTTAAAGCATGAGTGTTACAATCTGGGATTTTTTGTGAAACAAAGTAAGTGCAAACAACTTAGCAGCCATTAAATTTTAATTCTGTGATCAGTTAAGATCAGTTATAATAAAGAATTCTATGTTGGATTTGACACTTTTTGAAATTTTCATTTAGAATTTCTAAAAATTCCAAGGACATTTTAGTACTAGATTCACGAGGACTCAGCATATGTTGCTCAATTCAAGTCACCCAATATAATAATACATATTATAGATAGATGCTTAAAGAGACAGTCATCTTGTTGCCTCATGTGCTTTGGTGGCCTGTACAGAGATGAATTAGTACCCACCCTATATTTGTTAGAACACTGATCAATAAGCATTCAAACCATTTGTTTGTCAGTGACTTGAAATGGGTAATGGCATTTTTGAGAGAGTGCAGTTTTCCCTCTACTTTTTGTCCACTGGATCCTATCTACCTAAGGTTATTTCTATTCTTAAAATGCTACAGCTGGAGCAGTGCAACTATGCCACATCAGCAGTTCAGTGTAGATGCTTACAAATAGAATAGTCTGGATTACTTTGGATACTGGGTGCAAGCAAACAATGTGTATTTCAATAGGACTAAATATAAGGTCACACGTCCAGGAACAAAAAAAATGTAGGCCAGGCTTACAAGATGGCTTCTGTTTCCTGCAAACTTAGTTAAGTATCAAGCCAGGTCTGTTTCACTCAATAGTCACTTAGACACACTTTGATAGAAGAATCTCCGGACCACTCGGTCTTACAAATTCTGATAGTCACAACAAACAGGAAGCTCCTGACCACACAGTGGAGTTGATTATTATTTCCATTGAGCCCCTACGGGGGGCTGTGATAGTACCTAGATCTTATAAAACTACAGGATCCACCCAGCTAGAAGTTCCACCAGTGTGGACTAGCCAGGGTATCATGTTCCCCTTCTTGGTAACTCTGTTTATAGGGATTGTCAGCAGGAGAGGCGGGCATGGTCAGAGTGCTGCTGCACATCAGCTATAGTTGGCTGAAACAATAGCCCTGAAGGAAGAAGAATAAGCAATTGATATTATTTAGAGCAACCCTCTCGTTGCATCAAGTACACCCGGGCTGATATAGAGTTCCCACAGTCCATCTTGACCACACTTATATTGGGTGCAGTTCAAAATGTCATCTGTTTTCTTTACTGATGTTAGATCTGTTTTCTCTATTGACAGAGTGAAACAAAGACTGTTTAGGTTATTTTTGTTTTTTAAATATCTATATGTTGTACTGTTAGCTTAATTAAAACATTTCCCCAGTATCTGCAATTTAAACGATCTCTTAGAATTCTATGAAAATTGAAAGAACCTACTGAAATTTATTGTGGTTTGCTTGGAGTTAATATGTAATTCAACATGCAATGGAGCATGTATGGTTTTCCCAAGCAACATCTTATGGAGTTGATCAGCTCACAATGGAAGTGAGTTGAGAAAAAATTCATACCCATAAATGGTAGAAAAGTGTAAAGAACCTTCTGTTTCATGAGCTGATTCCTTCTTTAGACTCACTAATTTTAATATCTACTGTATGTGTAAATGTGATGGTCATCTATGCTGAGACTTACAGTCAAGATTGTCTATAAGCTTTTAAAATTGTTAATCACATGCAAAGCAACTATGTTAGTGAATCCTTTAGCTGTGAAACTGTAAAAACAGCATTGGACTATTTTTTTCCTCTGTGCCTTTTAAAAAAGCCTTTTATTTTGCTTGTTGAAGTAACTCTTCCTGATAATCTTGGAGTACATTCAGATATCAATAATGTACAGTGATTTATATTTTTGCTAGTAAGTTCAGACATAAGGTAAGCCTGTGGCAGATTAACCTAACTGATCACCAAGGTGGAAGGTTAACAAGGGCTATAAACTAGGCAAATGTTTAGATGTGATTAAAGTGAGTTTTCTAGGGGAAACTGTACCATACGGACATTAGTACCCTTTTAAAAAGCCTCTGCCTCTTCTTCACTGTCAGGTAGGCAAAATGCCCTCTAAATATCCATATGTTTTGGATGAGTTCCAGACTGGCTGAATTCACAGCTTTGGTTCATCTCTAGTTACTGCAGTAAGGTGATGTATGGTAATGGAAATTTCACTGAGGAATGGCAATTTAAAGCAACAGAAAATAATGGTAAAAATATTTGGCTATATTTCTCATTACCATGAAGAATTGCAACTTGAGATTTCATGACATGAAAAAGCTGCTTACTCATCTCCTTTGATGAGATCTGAGATATTTATAGAAAAAGGAGTAATCAAAGGCGGACAGATTCTATCTGGTGTTTCTTCAGGTGCCTAGTGGAGTGAACAGAAGCAAGGAGCCTTTCCTCCTCCATCCCTGCTACACAGAGTGTATGTGTTGCCATGGAAAGGGAGAATAAGGAATTGGCCCAAAGCTTTGCCCCCTCCCATACAGACTTGCAGTAGTCATCACGGGTTGGCTGCCTGCAAGTTGTCCCTTACTCAGCCATCCTTAGACTCCGGCTCGTGACCCTGTTTTAATGGTATTCCCAGGGATGGTATTAGACTTGCTGTGGCCTAGGATTAAAACAAGAGCCCAAGCACCAAGTGGCTTCAGCCTTGGGTGGTGAGGCTCTGGTTACAGGCCCTTGGGCTTTTTGCTCCCTGCCTAGAGCAATGGAGCTCAAGTGGGCTCAGGATTTGGTCCCTCCTGCTGGGGTCCTGGAGTAATTTTTGTTGTCAGATGTGTGTGGGGGGAGGGAGGAGTGTCTCAAGTTTGAGAACTCATGATCTAGTCCAGAGCCCATAAGACTTGGACCCAAAGTTCTGGAATGTTCAGATGTTTCTAATGGCTATGTTTGAAAGACAGGCACTAACTGAATCCACCTGCAGTGTCCTAACATTGGTAGCATGTCTCTCAAGGGCAACAATCACCTGACTGAAGGTCTTAGTATAAACCAAAACCATATTTCAAGAAACTTGGGTGATGCTATGGCACAAGTGTCCATAATCGAGCTTTTACACCTTCCTCTGAAACACTGGGTACTGGCCATTGCTGGAGAATCTGGAATGGCCAGTGGTCTACTCCCATATGGCATTACCAGTGTTACCATAAGAACACTCAAAGGTGCAACTTTTTTAATGTAGATGAATTTCAGGGCATATTAATCCCAAATCCTGGAAGTGAATGAGTTTCACGTGCTCTGGGGGATCTTTGGGTTCAAGGGAGGAAGAAGTGATTCCTAACCAACAGCTTCAGCTCTTCCCCTGTTCCCTTCCATTTCTGTGGTGTTATCTATGTGTGAAGCCCACAGCCTTAAAACTCAGGAGATATATCTGGTCTTTTTTCTCCTGAATGGAAAGCAGTGGTACAGGAACATTTTTAAGGGTGGGACTGCTAACACCCTTCTTACCTCTATCTCCGCTCCCAGCTGAGGCTAGGAGCAAAGTCCTGTCATAGAATCATAGGTCTGGAAGACACGTCAGAAGGTCATCGAGTCCAGCCCCCTGCCCAAAGCAGGACAAATCCCAACTAAATCAAACCAGCCAGGGCTTTGTCAAGCCAAGACTTAAAAACCTCTAGGGATGGAGATTCCACCATCTCCCTTGGTAACCCATTCCAGTGCTTCACCACCCTCCTAGTGAAATAGTTTTTCCTAATATCCAACCTAGACCTCTCCCACTGTAACTTGAAACCATTGCTCCTTGTTCTGCCATCTGTTCCTACTGAGAACAGCCTTTCTCCATCCTCTTTGGAACCTGCCTTCAGGAAGTTGACGGCTGCTATCAAATCCCCCCTCACTCTTTTTTTCTGAAGAGTAAATAAGTCCAAATCCCTCAGCCTCTCCTCGTAGGTCATGTGCTTCAGTTCCTTAATCATTTTGGGTGCCCTCTGCTAGACCCTCTGCAATGAGTCCATATCCTTTCTGGAGCAGAGGCTCAGAACTGGACACAATACTCCAGATATTTACTTTTCTAGATCTTCTGGCAACGCTCCTCCTAATGCAACCTAATGCAGAGATAGCAGCTAGGACCTGAGGTAGGAGGCTGGCACTGGAGCCCCCAGCATGTGGGGCCATCAGTCAGGACCCAAGGCACGGAGCCAGCAGCAGAACCATTGGTGCACAAGCCTAGCAGCAGAGCCCTGGGCACACTGGGCAGCATCTGGGACTATGGTTGCTGAGCCAGCAACAGAAATCCCGGAGTAAGGAGAGGCAGCCTGGACTCTAGGCACTAGGCTGGAAGTGCGGGGACTGCTGCAGCATCTTCTGCACCACTAGTTCCCATGCCTATGATGGAAAAAGTGATTGCATAACCTGCATCTCCCTTCTGGTATTACTGACATGCTGGCCCTAGCATGTACTCACCCTCAGCTGCTTCAAGGATCTTCAGAGGGGACACGCTCATGTCCGAACCCCATTTCAGCAACAACAGGAAGGGGATCATTGCTGTTGGCATGGGAGAGTGTTCTCTCTCAGTTGGAACAATCTGAAATGACTCCTAGGGTTAGCCTGGGAACCCTCATTCTGAGTTTCAAAACCTAAGCTCAGGGAATGAAACCTGATGTGAGCTGAAACAGAACAAAAGACTGCCTACCTCCTGTGAGGCACAACAGCTAGCTTTTTGCACAGCTCTAACTGATACCGGAAATTAGTATTAATATCTTATTCTGTTTTAAGGAACACTTTTCCATCACGTGTTTCTTTTATTACGAATGTTTCTCCCCGGTCCTTTTTAAATTGAAATGTTAATTTACACTCTTTTTAATTCATGTTCAGATGGTCTAATTTTGTTCCATCTTAATAAATGATAAAAGGCACATGAACAATAGATGAAAATAAACTATTAGACATCCCTGCACTTGAACAGTCTGATTATAGCAGTGTGCCTTTTGCAAAGTGTTTGTTTCATAAGGTTCACTGTTATTTAGTCTTCAATACAGAATTAGAATGACGTGGTGAAAAGGTGTCATGCATAAGGCATACATCAGAGTGAGAATACCAGTTTTTACTATCATTTGTATAATTTCCTGATAACCAGACAAATGGTGCAAATTGAATTATGCTTCTTGGTTTGTGGTTATGAATGATTTCTTCCAAATGTGATACTCTAATGTGCAACACCCATAAAAGCACAGCACATTATGTGAATACTCTGGGCATTGTCATTCCACAACTGATTACTTCTTTGATCACACTATCGCTATGTCAGCCTGTTTAAAGCTCATCAATAGGAATAAACAAGCTCAAAGTGTTTGTCTTGGAGTGACTGCACGAAGCAGTCCGCAATCAAGACTGAATGTTTAAAAGACAAAGCACTGAACAATAAAAGGTTAACTTATAACCTCTGGTAATATGATAAAATGTTGTTTGGGTAAAAACATTCAATCAAATTCAAATCTGACTTTTCTTCATACAAAAAAGCCTTTTCAGTGCAAATTGATCTCCTCCCCAAAGTGCAAGACATTCAATAGCATTCAGGATGCCCTATTAGATGCCCATTTTCTTTACATTTCATATGAAAAGCATGTCTAAAGTGAAAACTGGCGATGTTTCATTTTAAGAGGCAGCAAGTAGCACAGATGGGCCAATCATTCAGTAATCTAACCGTTTTGAAAGCCTCTGAGTAGAGCCAGTGAATCAAAGAGTAAATCAGTGGAGCACCAGTCTAAACCACCCTGTCTGTAATTGCAGGCTGCACCTTGGAAAACTGGATACTTCATCCTGGCACCAACTTTTGCAACTAAGAACAATTTGGTAAGTTCAAAGGTTGGGGGAGGAGCCATATCATCTGCACATCAGCAACAAACTTTAGGATTGTTTTTATGGCGATAAAGATTATGGGATGGCAGTCACCATCTTAATCTAAGATAATGATTAAAGCTGTTTACTGTACAAAGCCACAGAGAACAGATGCTGGAAACAAATAAGCATACCTATGACTGGTAAAGTGCTGGACTGAGGCAGTTTGGTCCTACACTCTCATTCATTACTGCAGGTATTACCAGACTTTATATTCCACTAATAAATGCTAAATTTTTGGCCAGATTGTCTGCTGTGACAGTTGCTTTGCATGCCATTGCTGGTGGAATCTGGCTATGGAGCTGGCACTGTCTGAAACTGGGAAGATGAGTCCAAAGTAAAGCTTATCCCGCCAATACTTTAGAGGCTCCTTCGTTACCTGACTCCTTGTGGCAGAGTAGGGACATGGCTAGACTGATGTTATGTGCGAGAGATTCCTGGCTCTGGGTTTAACATTTGGGGCAGTTGGCAGGCAACATATGTTGGAGAAACTGACTTGAGCTACTTCTGACTGACTTGCGGAGCACTGCACACAGCCGCCTCATAGTCAAGGGAGTGCAGAAGCGTACTTTGTGCATTTTTTGCCTTCCACTCGGAGATGTGCTAAATATAGTTTATTTGGACTCCAGGATATGGGTCTTACTCTCTTCCTTTGTAACATACTTGTAAAATTCTACATAAAGTTGTTTGTTAGAATATATAAGCTAGATATTGATATGCATAAAGTGCATCCTAATGATATACCTCAGCACATTTTTATGAATTGTATGCATGTGCTAAGCATTAGTTTACATTAACTGAAATATGGAGGCAGTAAACACCTACTGAGAATGCTTAATTTTAAAAAAATCATCATGGTAGCAGTGTGTCCCTCGTAATTCTAGATAATATGTTTCTGATTACCATTTGCCTCTCAGCTCCATAATGTGAAAACAAACGCAAATGTAAGTCTCTGTCTATACTTATGGTCATATGTCATCCTATCCAACTGGGCAATAAAACAGCAGGATGAGGCTGGTGTTAAATAATAAAAAATGTGATGCATGAAGAAGGAGGTAAATATGTGCTTATTTAAGTTACGACTATCCATACTGTTTCACTGTGCATTTTTGCATCATCTCTGCAATGAACAGAATAAGCTGTTACACAGTTTACATAGGTTTCTGTAGCATTCTGAATATATGAATAATTTATACAAGTCTCCTAGAATTGACTCCAACTATTACCAGATTAATAGGATTTAAAGATAGGAATACTGTGAAAAAGTTGAGACCACCGCAAAGATCTTGTCTCTCTCTTTTATCATTCTTTGGAACTAGTCTACTTAAACCTCAGTCTCAGAGGATCTACTGAGTCACCTAAAAAGATGGTTCTATTTTGTGATTAATGGAAGCTTTCTGCATGTATTAATGTGTCATGTTTTGGCCCAAAGAGCACCATACCTTTCAAACAGAACAAAGGTTTCCCTCACTCCTGTCTGCAAGGAGAGCATGAAGCTCTGATAGCAAACCTGCATTCTAATGCAAGCTACCTTCCAAAATAAGTGACCTGACTTTTGCTGTAATGAAGATTATATTACAAACTTCATTCTTATTTACAGTAGGATGCCTTAACACCACTCTGGAAGTGTGAAGGGATTTTAAAATGTGTGTAAGTTAAGGCCATATTATGGCTTCCATCTCTCTTCCTGAATGGTGAAAATGAAAAAGAGGCTGTGTGTGTTGAAAGTGGTGTTTACAAGCATTCAACAGTTCACCATAATGGTTTTGTGCCAATACAAAAGTCAATAACTAAATTTTGTTAATCTTGTTTGATTTCTAAATGTTATAAAAAAACCACAAAAATCCAGGTACAGGGGGAATACAGAAACAGGTCCCTTGTGACCTGGGACAGTTTGCTTGAAATACTGTGGAAGGACATTTCTTTCAAGATATTCATGAACTTATTCTGATGGGGAAGTTATTTCATTTATAGTCCTCAAAAATGTTAGCCAAGTTTTCCCTGACTCTAATGTCACAGGGCAGGCACCGATCACTAAAAGTTAACACAAGCTTACATACTCTGTGGGATCAGTCCTAGAGTACTCAGCTCCTTGTAAGATCAAACACTTGGAAAGTATAAGCATGATTACACTATAGGTCACTTGACTTCTTCAATAAAATGGGTTGGACTCTGGTTTCTTACAAGTCTTAATATCACAATTAATGGACTCCATCCACAACATACGATTTTCAAGTGAGAACTTTAACACAGAGACCGAAGTTTAGATAAAATTAATTTTATCCCTAGTCCTATGGAAATTTTCTAGCCTGTGGATGGAAGACATTTGTACACACGAATGGCCCTTCTGTAGTTGTATTCCAAAACAAGTTGGCTGCTGCTTTTTCATGCAGTGGAACTATCAGAAAATTGTGTTGAGTTTTGAAGTCTCAAAAAACACAATATGAAAAAGGTATCTCATTTGATTTTCATATTCCATGCAGTGCCTAAAGTGAGCAGAGCTCACAAGACCTGATCTCTTGACCTTTTCTCTAACAGGACCTGATTATCTGAAGTAAAACAAAGAAAAAATACATGATTCCATGCAGTTGAACAAGAATAAAAAAGACAGAGAGGTTGAGCAAAGAACTACAAGTTTAAGGAAGTAAAATCTGAAAACACTTAATTTGAGAGCCTGACTATTCATGTTCTGCACGTTTTTACTTTACTATCCTGCTTTATCCCTTGTGATCTTCCCCCATCTCTTACCTATGTTAGTCTCTTTCTGTGCACTGAATATATAATATACTAGCACAAGACAGATGTACTGATAAGCATGTCAGCAAGTCAATCTCATCTCTGCCAGGATATAAATTAGAATTAGGTTTCATGATGCCCAATCTTAAATAGGTTTTCCAATATTCTTTGGGCCAATCCTTCCTTCTCCCAATTGACAAAAATATCAGGGATTAGTTATTTCATCATGTAAATCAAGATGTAGTTCACCTTTAATGGACATAACTTTTTGTATCACTGTTGGGAGTGTAAGTGCAAACAATGGGACAGTATTAAAAAGCAGGACACAAGCCCTTTATTGGTTGTAAGTTCTAAACTTAGATTTCACCAGCAAGCCAACTGCACCCAGGGCAAACTTCTCAGATGCTTTAACAGCATTATCACTGAATCACAGGCAGTCCCCTTAGATAATCCAGTCTTTCTTGACACTCAGGTGAATGTATCTGTGATAGATGGCACCTTACACTAAGAACCACAGCAATAGTGAGGGTAACTCCTGATGCAAAAGGACCAGTCATTTACTCCAGGTGAATTGCATTTTAAGTCTCACACACAAGCCCATGCGTGTAGCCAGTCCTATATTGAACTACATGAAGATCCATTCAACAGGAAATTAGCGTACATCTACACAGCAACATTGTCTGTGTCTACACAGCAGGCAGTTATTTTGGTTTGGGGTTTTTAAATCTCCCGCCTTCCACATGCTCTGAGCAGCAAATTCAGGTGAGGGGAAGAGTCCATTGCATTTCTCATCTTCAGAAGAAGAACAGAAAAAATAGAGTCTTTAGTCCTTTTCTTGGTAGCTTCTCGATCCAGATATAGGCAGTTTCCAGCTGTAAGATTCAGTCAAAATCTGTCAGACAGTGGGTCTTCTTTTGCAGGAGGAGAATGAGAATTTCCGTAGAAGAGCAGTAGCTCTTCACACTGAATAAAGTCCCTCTCTTGTATTCAATATAGTTATCCTTTTAATATCTTGGGACCAACATGGCTGCCAGATGGGTAAGGCAATAAATTTATTTAGACCAACTTCTTCTGGGGAGAGAGAGACAAGCTTGAGAGCTACACAGGGCTCTTCTTCCAGTCTGTCCAGCTCAAAAGCTTGTCTTCTCAGCAACAGAAGTTGGTCCAGTAGAATGTGTTACTTCACCTCTCTTGCCCCTCTGTTGAGTTATAGTCACCACAGCTCACCATACAACCATTCAAATATTACAAGATGGAATTCTGGTATTAGAAGTAAAATTAATGCATGCATTGTGCACAAACTATTCAACAGATTCTAAACACTACATACTTACTTTTATCTCTAATACATTCTCTGTCGATATGACCTTGCAAGTGAATCAGATAGATGCATAGATGGAATCCATTAAGTGATCAGATGAGACATGTGTGGCTTGGCCTGTGCTGGCATCTGGTCTGCCAGCATCATGGTTTCTGCATGTGACTGGTCTGAGTGGTGGGTGATAAAAGACTCAACAATCTTTTCGGTCAGTGAGTCAAATTTTTCAGTGACAGCTACATCTTAATGAACTACTTATCTTGTAGCCCACCTCCCATTTGTTTTGTGATCACATAGTCCACCTTCCTTGTAAATCTTAATGACAACGTCCCTGTGGCAAGTGAAGCAATTGCTTCCATGAGAAAGCATATCATGTATTTTTAGTTTTTGTTATGCCTTTTAGAAACTGCATACAAGGAGAAGAGCCAAGTGTATGGGACCATATGGCTTGCTGCAAACCACTATACAGTGCTCATTTGGAACCTTTGCTTTCAGCCTCAGCCAAAGGAAAATGAAGCTTCCTCTATCTTACCCCTCCGGGAGGTTTAGCTAGCTCACTACTGAAGTGCATTGATAAGGTGCACGTTATTTGGAACCTCACACTACATAGATAAATAGTGGTTGGAATCCACTGTTTGAATTTTCCAGGACTTTAGTTCTGAGGATGCCAGTCCAGTGCTTTTTTCACTGAGGCTTTCATCCTCTGAGCACTTTACTTACAAGAATAGTGAATGCTTCACTTCTTACATAAATAGTTAACTTGATTCTAACAGAGCTACTCATCTGAACAAAGTGAAGCTCATGCGTAAGTGTTTGAAAGGACAGGTTCTAAATTAAACTTTGCTTTTTTAAAAAATTCAAATAAGACCTTCAACAAGCATTCTGTAAACTGCGATACCCA